TTCCATCTCATGGGAGTTGACCTAAGAGTGAAACTAGTCTGTTTTGTTAATCTTGTATCTATTTCAGGACATAAGTCTCTAGAACAATATGAAGGCCTGAACAACAAACACATTGCATGAAACGAACAATACGTGGATTGAATACTTTGCATGGCAGCATTCATGGAATTTATATACTTTTGTTCAAATTTTTTGCGTTTTGAAATTTCCCCCAAAAATATTTACAATGCATGTTGTATGTTCTTTCTCTGTATACTATGCTATAGGCTAATCAATGTGTTAAGTTTTCCTTAATTAGTTCATTAATAAATATAAAATAATATCATTTGGATCATAATGTGATTTTCATTAGGTCAGCCGAAGGTTTCTCCCAGTATCAAACTTGCTAAGTAAGTATTGGAACATTGGTTTCAGCTAATAACTGACAGGATTAGGAAGCAGAAAGTAGAGGCCACTCACCTTGGCTATTCTGACTTGTGCTACATGGAAGAAGTGCAGTTCTAAATTTCTTTCATTTTTTCTGATTTTCTTCCTCATTTCGCACCACTGCTTATCATGGTTGCTGTTTCTGCTTCACTGTTTTGAATGAACTGAACAATTGGACCGAAAGGGGACAGCTGCAGCAAAAACTTGAAGAAACAGAACAAGTAGCAACTAGGTTTGTTAGAATATAGCAAGTGATTGGGTGCTACTCATAGATGACCTTAGCAAAGGGCCAATGAGCTTATAGGAACTTTCTTGGATATTTCAGAGGAGCACTGCAAGAGGAGGCTGATTTCTCACTTGCTACCTACAGGTTCATGGTGTCCAGCTTCACTGGTGACCGGCAAACCCACCATCATCCTTGACTTTTTATTGTCATAGGCCTCTATTGGGGATATAATCTGTAACTTCCAAACTGTTATGCACAGCTACCCCTCGAAATAATCCCAAACTCTCACAGACAACATAAAGGGACAAAAATAAATGATCTTTCTCAGCAAAAATTCACTTTAAAACAGGAGAACACTCTGGCCTGAGTTCTTGAAGATAAAAATTGATAAAGTTTGAGATGCTTAGGTGCCAGTCTGATGGTTAGGCACACAAAGGCTGTTGTTCAGCATCTGCAGTTGTCTCTGGAAACCTTTGCAGACACAGTCATTTAGGAAATGTTGACAAACTCTTTCAGAGGCTACAGAGTGGCTGGAGCAGGAGTTCTTTACCAGAAACAGGCAAGCTGAGCTGGGAAACTTCTTCTTTTCCACAGGCTTTTACTCAATTACTTCAAAACAATGTCCAAAACAGAAACTAGAACTTGACAGTAAATGGTTTTCACAAGACATATGAATACCAAGTAATATCTTCTGAAAAGAAGTACGTTCCAAAGTCCTTTCATTGACCACTTCGAAAGCAATCCAGGTATCTATAATTCTACGGAGGGTATGCCAGGATTTTGACCTGGCATCACTGAAGGAACAGCGATATATTTCAATGTCAGGATGGTGTGTGGCTTGTAGGGGAAACTGCATTTGTTCATTAGCCTTATCCTTCTAGATGGTATTGGCTGCAAGTTTGGAAATTTCTGTCCTAAGGAGCCTTGGTGAATTTCTGCACTACATCTTATTGATAGTACACATCATTGCTACTGAGTGTCAGTGGTGAAGGAAATGGATGCCTGTGGATGTGGTGCCTATTAAGCGGGCTGCTTTGTCCTGAATTTTCTTGAGTGTTGTTAGAGCTGCACTTGTCAAGGCAAGTCGAGAATATCCTATTACATTCCTGAAGGGCAGTTGGTGTGAGAGTTGTTCCAAGTTCAGACACAATGATGTCATGAAGCTGGTGGTTTGCCAGTGCCAATTTGTATGGACAAAGGAGGATAGTGCCCATACAGTAGGCAGGGAGTTTATGCTGAAGAAACAAAAGTTGAATGATAGCCAAGACAATCAATCAGTGAGCTGTAGCTACCAGGTACCCAGTCTGACCTATAAATTGGGATTTTGCACAATCTAGTTTCTCAGGGAAAGTGAACAAGGAAATAAAGTAAGGCTCTGCTCTATGGCAAAATTCTGAAGTTACCATTTAAAGTTCAAGGGGAAAACTGCAAAAATATTTCCCTATGTTGAGATTCTGATTTTTTTCATTCCTTTCACATCTTCCCAACTATGTCATCATTGCTTTGACCACACCAGGGAGAGAAATTCTGCCCCATATCACTGCAGATTGCTGAATCTACACAACCTGAAAATGCAAATGAGGAGTGGAGGTGCTGGAAGCTCAGCAAAAAAATGATGTATCGTTAGATCAGAATTGGACAAAGGCAAGAACAAATGACAAAATGGCAGCATAGAGAAATGCATTGTAGCTAGGCCAGCCAGGCAAGTTGACAGAGAAACATTATCAATGAGGTTCCCAGTCCTTCACCTGAAAAGCCAGTAAAAGTCCTTCAGTATTAACAGCTCTCCACCCCTGATTTTACATTAAAGAGCTTTGAAATCATTTAACCTTTTCCTGCTTCAATAATTCTGCTACTGCTAGTATTGGACTGAGAAGTGTGCGAGAGGTGTGATGGCCAAGTCTCTCAGCAAAGTTTGTATTGTAGGTCGATTTGAGTGGGTTTGTGATCTGTAGTCCTTTCAGGATCTTCTCTGCTTTCTTGCATCTCTGTGTCTGTGTCGATATGCACAATCTTCTTGGAGATCCTCTTTACTTTGAGCCAGCAGTTTGTGCTGTCGATGGTAGCCATGATGTGGAGGTGCCAGCGTTAGACCGGTCCACATCATCTGCTACTGCTGACGAACAAGCTGTAATGAAAAGAAACCAGAAACTAAAAATATAATAAAGGACAGACTTTAATTCCAGGACAAATTGAAATGGACTTCTTAGTGTATTAAAGTGATCAAACCATATTTTTAAATTTTCCCCGGTGGATCATAGAATCCCTACAGTATGGAAACAGGCCCTTTGGCCAAACACATCCACACCAACCCTCAGGGTATCCCATCCAGCCCCATCCCCAGACACTATTGGCAATTTAGCATAGCCAATCCACCAAGCCTGCACATCTTTGGATTGTGGGAGGAAACAGGAACACCTGGAGGAAACGCACACAGACACAGGGAGAATGTGCAATCTCCATTCAGACAGTCATCCAAGGGTGGAATTGAACCTGGGCCCCTGGTGCTGTGGGGCAGCAGCGCTAACCACTGAGCCACCATGCCACTAGAAGTTGTCTTTCAGAAATGGACAGTTTTCCAATGTCAGCAAATCCAACGGGAAAGCTGACACCTGAGAGAATCTCATGTGGCTTGGGAGTAAAGTTACCCTGGACTTGTTTTCTGAAACAGAAGGTCAATTTTAAACTCCTCTTGCTACCCATAAACTTACAACTAACTTGAAGTGAAAATCAGGGTCGATATATGTTTCAATTTATAAACATACCAATAAGGATACTTTCACTTGCATGATGTCTCAGAAATAGATTTTGATTAAATGTATCAAAAACATTCTCATTATCCTTGCAAATTCAAGAAATAAATTGAGCAATCAGCAAATGAATAAAACAGATCCCTGGCATAATCATTACTGACATGTTTGACCAGAACAGACCCTTCTCTACTTTTCCCTTCCTCTTCCAATTCCTGCCCCAGCTCCCACTTTTCACATTTCCAGGTCAGAAATGTTGGATTCTGCAAGAAAGCTTTAGTGTCTGTACTTGAGCCAAAGTCCATACAAAGACAAAAAAATTTCCAAGTTGTTTCTGCCTTATATTCTTTGGTAAATTAACGGAAGGGCTTTTTTCAAATTATAGCAAAGAACAAAAACATAACAAAGTAATCTCATTTGACGGGATTTTCTGAAAGATTTTGTTTCCGACTTACATGGCACATCAACAAATTAATTTGTCCTAAAGGACAGTGAACCTATTCTTATAATATAATGGTGGATCTTTCATTGAATCCAAAATCCTATTAAACTAAGTCTAACTGACAGCAATTCCAAATCGTTTAATGTTTCTTAATTATGGACTGAATAAGCTTTTCATCAGCGCTTCATCAATTAAGACACTGTGGATTTTGAAAGGTTTGTTTTATCTTGAGGAATAATCAGCAACGCTAACGAGCTAATCAAACTAATCTGTTTTTGAACTACAACGCTGTAATCTACTCAAGGGGTTCAGCAGTTTTAGAAACGATGGGCTGAATCTTAAGTTCTTTTTGGGTAGGTGTCATTTCGCCAGGTTTTTTTGAGGGTTTTCATATCTCATGCCATATCTCACCAAATTTGCCTCATTAATTTCATACCCCCCCATTTCAGTGCCCCCTCAGCCAATTCTAGCCCCATTTTATCACATGCCACTCCAAGAAGAATTTGCCATTCAACAGATATCTGCCAAAAGGTCAGTATTCCTGGTCACATGCACTATATTTAATGACCACTTTGCAATCAGACAAACGCTGGCATTCCAAAGCTATCCTGTTCAATTGCAGACATTTAAGTCAGGAGATGTTGGAGAAGGAGAAAATGGCTCATGAGTATCCAGCAGGGACGTAGAGATTCTGGTGGATGGGGTGGTTCTGTAGAGGAGCGCCCTCTCCAAGAGGTCTGGCAGAGGAAGCTATACCACCAGACTTGGGCAGCCTGGTCCGAGGTCACCAACTGGATTAGGCCAACCTTCACAGTCTGGAAAATGGCCATCAATGCCACAAGAAGTAAGAAGGTCAATGACCTTCTTCACTCCACCAGGAAAATACGACACTGCTACATAACACTCACTGTATCTCTGTACTTAACCCACCTCCACTAAAGCTCATGGTTCTGCCACTGTCACTACTGCATGCAACATCTTCCCTCACTTGCTCTCATTTTGCCCTGACCTTCCAGATCACCAAACCTGCATGTCCTCTGCGCTGTCTACTCACTTGCCAGGAGCATTTACCACATTTCTCCCTCTTGCACCAGCATTAGCAGCCATGCTGCCTACTTTAATCTCACTCAGTTCCTTCCTCTCTCTCTCATTCCAGGAGCAGAACGCCCACAATAGGGCAGAAAGGACAGGTGGAGGAGCCTAACATCAGATCCCTCATCCCTTTATGAGGAAAGAATCCTGTCCCTTGCAGGAGGAGACTAGGAGACATTCATGCCCCACCAAGTGAGTACCACTCTTCATTCCACTTCAAATCTCTCATAAACCTACCCCAATCATCATTCATAGCACTCTACCTCTAAACATCAGCCGTGCCACCTTCTCTCCTTTATATGTACCAGAGGGATGTCCACAGCCCCAGGGGAGAAACGGCCAGCTCCGCCAGAAGCAAACTCCTCAGGTTCTGAGGAAGAGAGTTCTGACTCCTCAGAGGGGAACATCAGGAAGCCTGCTTCCTGCAAACCTGACTGGCTCAGAAACTGACACCTCAATAGAAAGGTTGGAGGCACAATTTTTTGAGCTCCACAGCTGGCTGAGAAGGAAGCTGCCCAGGTCGCTGGTATTCAGAAGACTGCCAGAGTCCAGGAACCAGCATAGTCCCAGGCAGATCAGCGAGTTCCTTCATGGGCATTGGGAGGAACAGGAGCAGCAGACAGGTATGTGAGAGGCGGTGATCCTCGTAGCCTGGAGGCTACAGGAATACAGCTACACTTTGGGGTCCCATCTGCCTCAATCATGTTTAGCTGCCTCCATGGACAGATTGGTGGCTGTCCTGGAGAGCCAAGTCCAGTATTCCCAGGGGCTGCTGGAGAGATGCCCAGTCAAGGAGGCAGGATGGTGCCAGGAGGCATCCATCCAGAGAAAAAACCTCTGGCCCTTCAGAAGCCTCTTGTCAGGTCACTCCAGAGGTAGTTGGATCCTCTACCTCCATTGTGCCTGCCCCTCTCTGACCCTTGGAAGTTCAAACCCAGAAAAGTCCATTTGACTCAGGAAGAGGAGAATGGTAACGCAGCACAGGTGGAAACCTGATTGGAGTAGTTTAAACATGGAGTTCTGGGAAAAAAGGGAATGAATTTGGCAGATGACAACATGTTTGAGGACTTTGGAAAGGAGTGAGAAGTCGGAGACGTCAGTTTGCAAGGACAATATTGTCAAGTAAAATCAGGAAGCATAGATAAAAAGAATAGCAAAGGATTTGGAACAACAGTGGATAAATACAGTTAAGATACAAATCAATTATTACCTATTCGGTCTTGGAGGGCTGAATGGCTTATTCCTGGTCTTTGTTTGCATTTGTTGCCAGCTTGAAGACAAATTCATCTGAAAATTATATTGGAGTCCATGTTTGAATTATGTCTTTGGACCATGTGGTTACAGTATAAATGTGCTGCTGTTAATTTCAATGAACCTGAAAGCCTTGAAGAAAAATGGTAAAACTGTGGGAATGCTGCAAGACACAAAAACTTCCTTCCAGCTATCTGTTTAACAATCATTTGTACAATTCCAATCAAATAAGCTAAAAGTTGTGCTACATAGAGAAACATTTTTCTCTTCACATTTAGAAACTCCATGCTACAATATATGTAGTATCCGTAAAAAGAAAGAAAGTTTGTATCTATACATCACCATCACCAGGCATCTCAAAGTGCTTTAAAACCCGCTGAAGTATTATTACTGGTTTATTCCAGGAAATGCAGCAACCAATGTGTGCACAGTAAGTCCCACAAATGACAATGTCCTAATCACCAGATAAGCCCTTATTGTACATTGATCAAGGTATAAGTTTTGGCCAGGAGACTGGGCCCTCTCTAGTTAAAATAATACCATGGGATTTTTTTTTTTGAAATCCACACAAACAGGATATAGGGCCTTGGTTTAGCATCTCATCTGAAATATAGCACTTCCAACAATATTCAGATCCTGCAGTTCAATTTAGTCTTCTTCCTTACAAACTGAAATGGGACTTGAATCCAGAACCTTCTGATTTAAAGGGAATACTGGCACCAACTAAGCTAGGCCTGACACTTTAATAATGCAGCACTGTAAAACTAGGAGTCAAAGGCCTGCTAATTGATGTTTATCGATTATGGATCAGTGTATGGAGGGATGGATAGCACAGCAGGACATGTTAAATAATATTTAAAAATATATATATTAAATTAAAGTGCAGAGGATATTGTAAAACTGAAATAAAAACAGGGTGCTAGAGAAACTCAGCAGGTCTCTTCAGACCAAGAAGAAAAGGAAAAGTCATAAAGGACTCAAAACATTAACTCTATTTCTGTCTTCACAGATGCTACCAAACATGTTGAATTTCTCCAGCACCTTCAGTTTATAATTTAAAAGTATACTTATTCTCAGGATGTGGATAATTGTGGCATATTTATTGCTCATCCTTAATGACTCTGAGAATGTTAAGAATCAATTATGTCATGTGGAAGTGGTATCACTTATGGCCAGGCTATGGAAAGGCAATAGATTTGCTTCACTCAAAGCCTTACTGAACCAACTGACACTTAGTGACAATGTGACAGCTTAAATTGCTGTCCCATGCGGTAGCAACCTAAGAATCACCAAATTTTAATTAATTTAGTTACCCCACTAGCCAGGAAGGGCCAGACATATATATGTGCATTGGGAAAGACAGTGTTTGATTAGGAGTAGTTAGCATGGCTTCATGTGTGGGAGATCATGCCTCACAAATTTGTTAAAGTTCTTTAATGAAGTGACCAGGAAGATTGATGAAGACAGGGCAGTAGACATAGTCTATATAGATTTCAGTAAGGCCTTTGATAAGGTTCCACATGGTAGGCCACTCAGGAAGGTTAGATCACATGGAATACACAGAGAGCTAGCAAATTGGATACACAATTTGCTTGATAGTAGGAAGTAGAGAATAATGGTGGAAGGATGCTTGCTGGACTGGAGGTCTGTGACTTGTGTGCCTCAGGGGTCGGTGCTGGGTCCATTGCTGTTTGTTATCTATATCAATGATTTAGATGAGAATGTACAAAGCAGGATTAGTAAGTTTGCGGATGACACTAAAATAGGCGATATCGTGGACAGTGAGGAAGGTTATCAGAAATTGTAGCAGCAACTTGATCAGCTGGGGAAGTGGGCCGAGAAATGGCAGATAGAGTTTAATATAGATAAGTGTGAAGTGTTGCATTTTGGAAAGTCAAATCCAGGTAGGAATTTCATGGTGAATGGTAGGGCCTTAAGGAGTGTAGTGGAACAGAGGGACCTTGGAGTTCAGGTTCACGGTTCTCTGAAAATCGAGTCACAGGTAGATAGGGCAGTGAAGAAGGCTATTGGCACACTGGCCTTCATCAATCAGGGCATTGAGTATAGAATTTGGGAAGTTATGTTGCAGTTGTACATGACGTTGGTGTATTGTGTTCAGTTTTTGTCACCTTGCTATAGGAAGGATGTTATTAAACTGGAAGAGGGCAGAAGAAATTTACAAGAATATTGCCAGGACTCAAGGCACTGAATTATAGGGAGAGGTTGGATAAGCCATGACTTTTTTCTTTAGAGCATAGGAGACTGAGGGGGTATCTTAAAGAAATGTATAAGATCATGAGAGGCGTGGATAGGATGAATGCACTCAGTCTTTTTCCCAGGGTTGGAGAATCAAGGAGTAATGGGCAATAGTTTAAGGTAAGAGGGGAAAGATTACATGGAAACCTGAGGGGCAACTTTTTTACACAGAGGATAGTACAGATATGGAGTGAGCTGCCAGAGGAAGTGGTTGAGGCAGGTACATTAACAACATTTATAAGGCATTTGGACGAATACATGGATAGGAAAGGTTTAGAAGGACATGGGCCAAGAGCAGGGAAATGGGGTTAACATGGATGGACAATTTGGTTGGCATAGACCAGTTTGGGTGGAAGGGCCTATCTCCGTGCTGTAGGACTCCACGATTCTATGAGGATGACATTTGATCATGCAATTAATACGAAAACCATTTGTCCATCATTCCTTTGGGTTAAATAAATGCAAAATATTCTTGCTCCACAGTAGAAATTAGCCCATGAAATTTCTGTGAACATTAATTTTTGTAATGATAAGTAATAAGGAGAACAATGCAGTTAGAATTTTCGAATAACTTTCAATGATACTAAATGTACCCTTGGACTTTGATGACATTGTTTATAGTCAACTGAGGTTGCTGTTTATGTCTCATGTCAATGTAATATCTGTAAAGAAACAATAAGAGTGCTGGGGGCATAATGTTTTGTTTTCTGTGGAAACATTAATTGGCTACACAGCTGGCAGTCACCTTGGATAACACTATAGATTATGTCAGGGTAAGTTAACAGAAGCTATGTTTTGGGATGTTCAGGAAGGGCATTTGAATGTTAATGCAGCCAATACAAATAATCAATGGTCCAGAATTGTGGATCAAAATTGCAGGTCGCCTTATCACATGGGCAAGAACATAGGATTGTGCATTTTGTATTCTACCTCCACTGGTATCAAACTGAGCGACACATCCTTCTATAAGTCCCAGGCATACACACCAACCTAGACAACAGCCCAGAAAAGATGATCCTTAACCCGAGAATGCAGGCATAATTGTTACATAGAGAATGGGACAACTTAAAATGGAAATACCTGATGCAGATGTGTCTATTTTGAGTTTAACATGCAGTTTCGTGCAGAGGATGAGAGTACCTCAGGAAACCACCCTCAGTCTTTTTAGTGTGTTAATGGGGCTGTGCTCCTCACATTTTGGCAGGAGCTAAATCTAATGGCTGCAGAGATAGTAGGAACTGCAGATGCTGGAGAATCCAAGACAACAAGGTGCAGGGCTGGATGAACACAGCAGGCTGCAGCTGAGTTTACAAAGGCTCCAGAAACCCAGCTGCCAAATAGTGGAAAGACGTGCCAGATCGAGCAGCCAATCACTGACATAGGCCATGAGGAGCAAGAGTGCTTCTCCTCTTTGTCTGCAAACCCTCTTCCCTTCGTAATCCCTATCTCTCCCTCTGCAGAGACTAAACCCAATGATGTTCTCTTCCCCATAACCTCTCCTCAGTGTGATTTTTCCCCATGATCTCTGCTCACACAATCTTCCCCGCCTTGCTGACTCTGATTTCTTTAATTGCAGTGGAGGTTAAGGCATAGAAAAAGAACAGAAGTAAAAAGAAAGAGAAAAAAGAACGAAAGCATATGGGAGCAGATGAGCTGAGGTTTAAGAACCCATGCGCAGTGCTGCT